AGCCAGAACTACCCCGCGTCTATGCGGGGCGATGTGTTTTGATGTCGGCGTGATGCATGACGTCGGCGGCGGTGACGGACGGTTCGCGGCGCCGGCAGCGGTCGCGGAAGCGAACGGTGGCCGGAGAGCATGGATGTGGGTAGTAAGAACGCGGCCCCGTCAAAACGCGCGAGTTTGCGCGCTCTCCGGGGCCGGCGAGAGGGAGGTTGGTGGAAGGGGGGAGGAGGATAGAAACAATTGGATAGAATATTTAATACTTACCTGATGGCAAAGGCGCATACAGCGTCGTGTTACTACTCCTCCCGCGATCCCGAAACACCCATATCTCAAGCGGCGCGGCACGATTTGATGTCGCCGCGAGGGGGTCCGTCGGGGAGGGTGACAGCGGCGACGGCGGCGGCACCAGCGGTCGGGACAGGGTGCGGCGGCCGGACACGCTTCTCGAAGGGTTGAGGGGACGGGGGATGTTGATCCCGGGTTGTTTCGGGGCGATCCGGGGCCGGGATGGGCTTGTGAGGGGAGAGGTGGGATGGAGGGCGACAAAAGGTGAGAAACAACGTCGACAAGGGCGAACGATTGGGTCGTTCGCCTCTCGCCGACGTCCTGGCACGCGTACAAGCCAGGAACAGGCGTCCGCTTGACAGCGGACGGCCTGGTGAAGGAGGGATGGGCAGGGAGGGGTTGGGAAGGGTAAACCAGAAAAGCGAAGATTGTGGCAAAATGGGTGCACAGATGTGTGCATCCCTTTCTGCCACAGCTTCGTTAAGTAGCCCCCAGCCATAAATGACATCGAACACCAGAACGCGCGCGCGTTCTGGTGTTCGACGTCGGGCAACGCGCGCGCGACGACGAGGGCGTTGACGGCGACGACGGACGTGCTACGGCTCAGAATGAGCCTCCTCGCGCTGGTGTAGCATGAGGAGGTTCATTCGGGACCGGAGACGCATCACTAGCGTCCCCGGGCCCGCCGCAGAACGGGATTGTAGGGAGGGGGGAATGACCCCCGGAAGAATCGACAAGAACGCGACGACGAGACAACGCGCTGCTATAGCGCGTGTCTCATCGTCGTCCTGACTCCATAATGAGTCAGGAAATCGGTTCCTATCCGAGGATAGGCGACCGGGGAAGTGGGGAGGGAGGGACAGGGGGAGGGGGGTAGTAAAATAGAAAAAACGAAATAAAACGAGAACGGCGGCGCCCATTTGCGCGACGCCGTTATCGTTCGTTTCCTGGGGTCAAGGAGAGTCGGGAGTGACATCGAAACCGAGAACGCGACGGCGTTCTGGGTTCCAATGTCGGGAGGGCGCGAGGGGAGGCGGGTGTGCTGCCAGCGGTCTTGCTGCATTTGTACGGCTCCGGGCCAGGTCCAGAAGGATGGCACGACCTATGAGAAGGTAAGAGACCTGAAAAATGAACATTCGGGGCCAGCTCGACCCGCCTACGTCGATCCGCGAGGCGGGCATGCCAGACCCTAGTATCAAACAATATAACTTCGAAGCCTGAACTGTTTGCTTACTTTTTTCCCTTGTCCTCAGCTCACATACCCTCCACCTATCCTATCCACCACCCAAGGACTCCATCCCAACATTGGATGGGGCGGCGGCGGCGGCGTCGAGAGTGCCGAAGCAAGCCAGAGCACAACGCGAGACTTAGCGTCTCGCGCGCGTCGGCTCGTCTCCGAGGCTGTCTTGCTCGGGCTCTACAGCATAAAAAAGAGTCAATTCAAGACGGTTCCTAGGGGTTTCATACCTGCTGAGTACGATGAGATACTTACCGAGGCGCAATTTCATGTGTGTCGGCATCCGCGAGCGACTTTGCTGTCGCGCCACAGCCGCCACTGCCGCCACCGCGCGCGTGTGGCTGTGTCACCGCTTTAGGCAATTGTCGGCGAAACTCGACCAAACAAAATTTCTTGTTCTGTCCTCTCTATTTCTGCCGTCTCGTAGCACATTCTTAGTCTGATAGTTTACTAGCTAGTCACTAAGTTAGTCTTTCTTTGAGACTTGCCCTTGTTGTTCTCCCTGTACCCTCCCTTACACCCACACTCATTCATAGCATACAGCTGTCTTAATCCAATGCACACTGCATCTTGAGATGTGTTAAAGCAAGGATGGGAAGCCGTTCCCAGCTCGGGAGCCACAGACAGATGTCCGGGCAGCTTCGTAGCATATAAATACATGTTGGCAGCTCATGAACAACTGAACCTGACTTGAATCGCTTCAGAATTGACCGAGATCAAGCGGTGGCAATGTATACTGCACTTGTGCAGATGGCGCTTGAACTGCAAAACCAGCAGGTCATGCTGGCCTCTCTGGTGGCTATAAAATATGACTCTACACACTTGAATGAGGGTGTAGAATCATCCCTGACACCAGCGGACTGAGTACTGGCTAAGCACCAGCTGTCCGATCCCTCCTGATGTTTATCTCAGAATAATAGTAATTCTGTAGAAACTCAACTGTGGCATGGGAAAGGTGCGGTGGCTGATCAAACCTCACTTCAGAGGTGCCCTTGGGTGTGTCCAAGACGTGCAGAGTCTGTCGGTGAATTCCAAGCCTGCATGACCCACTGAGCCCCAGGTGGAGCACGCTGGAGCACGAGCGATGGGGTTTGGCGGGTTGGGTGCCTACCGAGATAGACTCAGGGAGCTTCAGAAGGGGGGATGCATGCAACGGGGGAGAGATTTGACCCCTTTCAGCCCCCACCGTCGATGTCCGTGCCAGCAAGGGAGATCGGTGGAGGCTGAATGGGAGGGTCTGGCGGCTGCGGTGCCTAAGCAAAGAGGCTCACAAGGGTGGAAATAGGGTGCTGCAACAAAGAGCAGAGAGAGGGGAGCGATTCCAGCCCCTG